TGTGCCTGTACTCCCAGCTCTACTGGAGGCTGAGGCAGGAGGATTGCTGCAGCCCAGGAGTTTGAGGTTGCTGTGAGCCATGATGATGCCACCGCACTCTAGCCCAGGCAACAGAGCAAGACTCTATCTCAAAAATAAACAAATAAACAAATGATACAATATAGAACATTTACATAGTCTGAGAAATATTTCTACTTGTATGTATTTAGTATCTTCAGTTACCTTTTTTTTAAGTTTGTATGAGTATTTCCTTATTTTCCTCCTTTAAGTCCTTCAGTATTTCTTACAAACTTACAGCATAAAGTCCTAACTGTTCACTTCCCGCCAGACTCACCTTTTCCTGAACTTCACAGTATTCCAAAGTAAGCACATTCCTTCTTATTTAGTTCAACAATGATGCTGAAAAGTAATTATCCTCTAAAAGTTATAATATTTCTGAATGCTCCCATTTAATTTTCATACTTCATCAGATAATTTCTTTCCTATCATTTCACCTTAGATAGACCTGAGGATATTGAAAGCGAAATTTGGTTACAAAATGTTCCATGAACCTTGTCAAACAATGGTGTCCTGTCAGACACAGTTCGTGTTTGACTTGTATGTACTTGCCCGACTTAACAAGTCATCCATACACGCTGCTGCCAGGACCTATATAGCTGCTGTCCTGGTAGTTTAAGAGAACAGACACAGAAAAATCAAAGAAGCTTGGGACTATCTGTGGGTTCCCAAGGAGAATAAATGGAGAGACTCTGAAAAATAAGTTGCTTAGCAGAGCTGAATCCAAGGGCAAGCTGATTCCCAAGCATCGCCTACCTGCCTATATAGTGGTCCCCAAGCCTCCAAAAATGTTTGTCTAGACTGTCCAAATCTTTAAAACCCTGAATATTGAATTTGAAATTTATTATTAAGCTTTTAATTGAATTAAGCTTTTTCTAATGGAAATATTTCTTTGGAATTCATTCACTCGACACGTGCTTTTTGAGGGTTTGCTGTGTGCTGAATACTAGGGCATTGAAAATATGGCAGTGAACAAAAAAGATAAACATTCTGATTTTAAGGAGCTTACATTCTATTGACACAGACTAAGTAAATAAGTGAGATCAGCCACAATAAATAGTGTGAATTAGTTTGAGAAGCCTGCTTTCTTCCTAAAATAAACCACCTTTTCTAAGAGGAATGGGGTAATGTGAGGAACATTTAGGAGGTTGGATAAACCCAGGTAAGATATGTAGTGAAGGAGCTTTGGGTAGCATGAGGTCACCAAAGGCCTGAAAAGAGACACTGAGAGAAGTGACAGGGCTAGAGAAATGGAAAAGAGAAGCTCTCAAAGACCAAGATCACCCATTCCATGATTTCTTTCTTTTTTTTTTTTTTTAACCAGATCTCACCTTGAGTACAAGCAAGGGAGATAAATTTTCCTTTCTTCTGCCTTCTTTTCTTGCCCCCAGAATCAAGAACTTAGGGTTAATACACAGTTGTCAAAATTTTAAATGTATATTCATTAAACAAAGCAGCCTTATATAGTGATTACTCTTTTGGATTCAGGCAGACCTGGATTCTAATCCTAGACTGTATTTTACTGGTTTTATAACCTTAGTCAAGTTACTAATACTTTTTGAGTTTCTGTATCACAAATGTATAAAATAAAAATACCTGCATTTGAAGTGTTAAGTGTTTGATACATGGGAGTTGATAAGTCACTGGTCTTATTATTATCAGCCTGGAGAACCTGACCACTACTTAACACACCGATTCTTTGGGGGTAAAAGTGACTTTCTAATTTAAAACTACTGACACTTTTTGGAATATTGCTTATTTGCAAATATGGGTGATGGCCCATATTTCTAAATCCCATATAGAGAGTTAAAATACTGTGCATTTCTAAAAGAAGAAACCCTAAATGAGAGGAAAAGACCAAAGATTTGTCAACATTCTTGCTCCATTAAAGTAATACAATTCTAAAAATTAAATTGAAGAAGTGAAAAAAGTAGAGAGCAAATAAGAGAACAAAATAAATTTAAACTTCATTGCTAAAAGGATCTTAATGTACCCAGGACATAATGTCAAAAGGAAAAAAGTGCTTAGCAGACAAGCTATATAGACAAAAACAGGAAGATAGGGGCTAGAGGAGAAAAATTCTGACAAAATTAGTAAGCAGAAGTAATCTTATAAACCAGCATTCATTTTAAATGAAATATATTAAACAACAATAGGAGATTTTTCAAGAATGCTTAAACCATATAAATCTAACACATCCCACTCCCCTTCTTAAAGTAGTTCTTTGAATTTAATGGCTGAAACATTGCTTTGTGTTTTCTAACCAATTACTGTATTAAATATAATTCTGATTCTAGTGAAGAGATGTGTAAATCTATAGTACTTCAATCCAATTCCTTTGGTTAAGGAGAAACTTCAAGGTTTACTATATGATCCACAAAAGCATGATTATACCTTTTAATTTGATTATTCTTTCTACTAAAATACACCTATTCCTTTTCATTAATTGATTATACTTTTTAAAGACTGAATGGCATCAGGGGAAGCTGCTTGGTCAGGAGAGCAGATAATTTGAGATTTATCTCCTAAATTTCAAAAACAAGAGTTTGAGGCATGATTACCTCCCTCAAGGAACTTATTACCATGTTGGAGAGACAAAATCGACCTTCATCCCTACACTTCTCTCCATTCCCATTGTTCTTCAGACCACCCTCCTGCCTTGCCAAGATTCCCTTACCAGCCTTTCTAACTCATTTTGATATAGTTGAGTAAGTTGACCAAAACATTTTAAGAAGAAAGGAAATATTTCAAAATGATTATTATTTCTTGGATTAAATGTCAGGATTCTTAAAAGGAATAAAATGCTGAAATGTAATGTTTAAAAGCAAACTTTGTAAAATATCTGCTTGTCTATACTGATAACCTGTGATAAATATTAATATCAAAAGCATAGTCCTTTCTGATCACTGTTCATGTTTTCAGCAGATATTTATTGTGTGCCTATATGTGCTCAGCACTGGAGGTTAAGAGGAGAAACACCTTCGGGGCATTTAACTACCTGTGAAATCCTTGGAAAATACAAACTTTTTATTCAGTGATTCGGAACTAAATATTTTCAGAAGCGAAATCTACATAATGATATCTGCTGGTCAACTGACATTTGTTGGAACTCTTGGTTACTGTAGATTGATTTGGAGGCAAACTTTTTATGTTGGAGAACAGAGTGACTAATTCTCAGTACTGCTCTATGGAAGCGAGCAGAAAATAGTACTCTTTGAAGAATTTAGGTCAGTCTTTATAGAGACCATAAAGGAATCTTGACATTTAATGGCTTGAAGGTTCTCAGTAAATCACTAAATTAGAACACAAGTTAAAATCATTTTTCTTTTCGTGTAAGGCAACATTAAAATAATAGGTGGCAACTTTCTGGGGGAAAAAGAATCCTAATTGAAGCTTTCTATACAATTTCAGATTTCAATATATCTGAAATGTTTCTTCAATAAATATTTAGCAAGCACTAAGTATCAGACACTATTATAGGTATGCAGTTTGCTGGTTTAACGTCCATTATTTTGACCACTTTTGGGTCAGGTGAATGCCTGCTTTTCCTTTGCCTCTCATTAGATAGAAAGATAAGCATTCCCCATTTTGCAAATGTCATAATTTTAATGCCACACAAAAAGATTATGCCCTACTAGACAACTAAAAGTATGTATTCCTTCAGAAATAATTTTAGAACCAGAGTCATCATTTTTCACGTACTTCCCTCATTATCTAACTAGGTTTTATAGCTCACAATTCCATACATCAAGTGCATTTATATTTCCAAGTTATTCATGTACAACCAGTTTATCCTGGAGGGTCATCATATTGCATCATATTGCTCCAAATTGGATGATTTACTGGGTTTGTTTCATTTCGTTTTGTATTTGTTTATGGCTGAGTCTAAGTGGGCATCTGATTATACTGTTTTGGGAAGTTTTTTTTGTTTTCTTTGTTTTTGTTTTTTTCTTGTGGCTGTGCTCAATGGAAGAGAGCTTGGAAGCCTCTGGAGGCTTTTCTTCTATATTAACATTAACCCAAAATTGCTTCTCTTGATCAGTAAAAAAATACTTCAGGTGCTTTAGCTATTTTTTAAAAGCAGTGTATGAGAACATACAACATTTATCTTATTTATCCAGAGGAGATAAATAAAAAGTAACCTTTTTAAACTACCGCTTTTAAAATATGATAATTGAAGAACTAAAAGAGTAACTTAGTCTGCCGAGACATTGTAACCTCACTCCTAAGACTGAAACTTATTTTCATTTATGAGTCCTGGTTCTGTGTCTATCACTGTTTATTGGCTTGAATTCCCCTTGCTTCTTTCTGTCAGAATGTTCCAACTTTTTTTGTTTTTTAACCTGATCATGTAACCTTTTTAAAACAGAAGGGAAAACATGCAAAAGGAGATCTAATTTAGGAATTGATTTTTTAAAAAAAAAAGTTAATAGAGCTATGTAAGGAACTAGTATTGACACAGGACTTGAGAGATGTGAGTTCTGGATCCAGCAATGTCAGTTATTTATGTTCCTTTATAACCTACATTTTCCCAAGTTCCTCATCAGATTTCAGAGATAGAAATTCTCTCTTTTATAACCCAGGGAAGTTTTGAGGGAATATTAGACATTTTAAAGCCTTCAAATATACTTGAAAAAAAAGACAATTCAGAGATAGGCTACCAAGGCTTATTATCTGTATAGGAGAGTGATATTTATAGTTTTTACATAGCTTACCAAAAATAAATTTCACATTGAAAATAGGCCATGGTCCCGTCCCCGTGATTGTTCCTGCATTCTGCGGCCAATTTAGCGTTGTTTGGGCATTATCGGAAAGGAAGAAGGGAAATTTCAATAGTATATAAAATTTAAAGAGAACTTGATTGCTCTGGTGCTGTCAGGGTCAGGTCTGTCTCGAGCTTGCTTGCTGTTTGGCTCAGCGGCGGGGAGGGGAGGCAGATTTGCCTTTCCCTGAAGCCCGAGGGCTCGCGCTGTACCTTCCAGACACAGTGCACGCTCCGCTCCAGGCCTGCGAGCCCATTTCGGACCTGAGACTTAGCTCTTGCTGGGGAGCTCGGCCCTGGAGCTTGTGTTTCGCCCGGCCGCGTCAGACCGCCCGCCGCCCAGCTCGGGTCCGCGCCGAGGGGGTGGAGCTCTGCGGCGCCCCGGGCCCGGATTGGCGCGCGCGGCCGCAGGGCGGTGGAGTGACGGGCGTGGGGCGGGGCCGCGCGGCTTGTTTGTCGGCGCCGCCCCGCCCCCCGCCGTCCGCGCAGACTGAGGTGCTGCAGCCCGGAGCCGCGGCCGGCTACCCAGCGCTCGCCTGCTCCGCGCGTCCGCCGCTGTCCCCGCGCCGACATGCGCCTGGCCACCGCCGCGAACGAGGCGTACGCGGCCTCGCTGGCCGTCTCGGAGCTGCTGGGCTGCAAGCAGTGCGGCGGGGGCCACGGTCCGGACGAGGTACCTGGGCTAGGGGGGCCGGGCGAGCGGGCGGGTGGTCACCCGACCGAACTGCCTGTACCACACAGAGGTCACGTCGCCCCCCGACAGTCGCACTCAAATAGCACCGAAGACGCTCCCCAGGGAGGCCGGCGTCCCGGTGGGGGCGTCTGGCCCTCCCGCGCCCCGCAGGTGAAGGGCGGCCTGAGGTGGGTGGGGAGATCTTTTCTACCCTGAGTCGACCCCGGGCGAAAAATGCTCAGCTGGGAGAGACTGCTGCCTCGGTCATTTAAATGGAAGTCTCCAAAACATAACGTCTTCTGTACAAGTCTCCACAAGTCAGAACCCAACACAGCTCTGGTCTCACGGTAAAACAGCCTGTGGATTTTTCCCCCCTCGGCGTCTTGTCTTGTCAAAACAGGCTGTTTAGCGCTCCCTCACCCCCTTTGCCTCCTCAAAAGAAGGAAAAGAAAAAAAATACATTTGAGTCATTTAAAAGATGGTGTTGCCTAGAGTAAGTATGTTCTGCAAGCTCTATGATGTTATGCAGAGCCTTTAACTCTTGTTTATTAAACTATCCCTTTTGTGTCTGAATTGGCCTTCAGAAACAGGTAACATTTTGTATTTTTTCTAAGAGGTTGCAAATAGGACACCATTTGAAAGTTACTAACGTAACCTTAGCTAAAATTTGAACCTTTACAAGATCTTGATTAAAAAGATGACAAGGGAGAAATGCTAATTAAAATTTGGATTGAAATCAGATTGTTGTATTGCCTTAGTTCAAGAAATCGAAATATGAATTAGTTTCTCTGCAGCTTTGCCCACTAAAATGACTCAGGTGTAGTAATTATATTTTTGTAAGTGGGGCCTATGTTATCAGTATACTATATATATTTATATAAACTTAAATGAAGACACTTTCTCATAAAAGTTGTAGGACACTGATTTTTTTTTTTTTTTGAGATTTTAACATTTGTGGATACATTACAGACTCTGTTTTACAGATAATAGGACAGCCTTTAAAAATCTCTTAATAATGTTGCTTTGGAAACTTTACCAAAGAGAAAACAGTGTGAAAGTGTTAAATTAGCATTTACAGTTTCTGTTTGCAGGCTATAATAGATCTTTTCTCATTTTGAGTAGAAGTGAGCCCCAATCATCTTGCCTGAATAGATCTGTTATTTCTGGTGGTGTTTGTGTGCAGAATCTTGGTTCTTGCCCAGATCTAGAATTTCTAAAGATAGCCATGTAAACTAGAAGATAAAGAGATACATTTTAACTTGCACATTGTTACAGTGCCTATGGGAATGTGTTTAGGAAACCAGAAAGCTTTGTGTCGTCCTATTTCATTTTTAATGCATCCAACATGTGGGAAGATAAATTAGGAAGGAGTGCTTTACAGGGAAACTATTCACTTTACAAAAAAATAGTACAATTCTTTCAAATAGCAAGCTTTCATAATACTTTTAAACACTTTCCAGGAATGGAACTCCTAAGCAAAGTGTAGGGCACACACGTGGCCTAAAGTCAGCCTCAACAAATGTATTACTTTGAAGTAAGGTTTTTTTTTTCTAAAATATAGTTCACAGAAGAACCCCCCCCCCAAAAAAATTACTGTAAGTTTTAATATTTCTGAATTCCCTAGTAGCATTAATGACTATTTTAAAAGAAGTATTAGGACATTTTGTTATAATGGGGGTATTTCTTTGTAAAAGTTCTAGATCTCTTCATTTCTGTTTGAAGTTTTTTAATGTTAAAAGGCCAGCACCCAGCGCCCAGCAGTGAATTTTCCCAGAGAAGGGAGAATGGAATGGGAACTTTCACTTTTTATACAATAAATCTTTATCTTGTTGAAATGTGTTTCAAAAAGCATGTACTGGTTTTGTAATTCTTTAAAAAAATAAAATTGCCAGCAACGTTATGATTGTCAGTAATATGCTAAAACATCTAAACAAGTTTTGTAAAAAATGCACCAAGTGTAGTGAGAAAAATAATTCGAATGATTTGCATATTTTTACTTTTCAACTAATTTTGTAGGTGGATGACACCATAAGCCAACAAATGCTTGATTTTGCATTTGTGGCAAATCATTCATTTTTTCACTTAAGGTTATTGATATAGATTCATAAATGTATCTTTAACAAATTTGAAACATCTGATTAGAACAGTACTTTACACAAACATTGATTCATACAGTGATACAATATACACAGTCTTACTGTGGTCCTAATGTCAACATTCCCTAACAATTTGCACTCTGAAAATTAATGTGTTAATATTATACACTGAGGAAACATATTATATCAGATGTGAAGCAGTATTGTGATGACGGACGCTGTTGCTGCTATCTCTTTCAAAGATGGTTATTAGGATTGCTGAGGGGAGAGGACTATTAGTTCTCATATTAGTTTTTCCAGCCACACCTTCACAGAGAGCCTGTGAGATTTGTGCCGTGATTAGCATCTACATCTGCTTTTCAACAGGGCCATTTGTTCTTGGCAGTTCTGCCTCCTAGAATCTGGATTGCCCAAAATTTGTTCAAAGTCTGTAATTCAGTTTCTTACCGCTGTAGATGAAGGAATAATTGAAGTACCCTAAATAGGAAGTTATGAAATATATTTAGTTTGGCTTATGATCACCCCATTGAACACCTGCAGTGCCTTTTTTGGTCACCACCTGCTAGAAAATAGTTGTAACTAATTTGTCATGTGACTAAAAAGTGTTTCAAAAGTGAATTTTCCAGAAAACTAAAGCTTTTAACCTTTTAGAAACCAAGAATACGATTGTATAATAACAGTGATGTCTAAAAGGATCTCCAAGGTATCAAGAACTCTTAAAGAGGCTCAAAAGAGTAATAATTAAAAATACCAGCTGTAGAACCAGACTTCCTGGACTCAATCCCCATATCTACCGCTCAGTATTGACTCTGAGTTTCAATACCTGGGTTTAAATTCCAGGGCTTTCATCAATTATTTATCTGTTCAAAATGGAGATGATAATAGTACCTGCCTCATAGACTGATCTAAGGAATAATCTAAGACACTGACTTTTTCATGGATATTGTACAACACCAGATATTCTTTATAAACTTTAATATCATAGGTACATAACATGCTCTTTGTTTACAGGGAATAAAACTTAAAACAGTGCTCAGTTCATAAATACTTTGTGTTAGCTGTTGCTGCTGCTGCTTTTGTTATTATTTATTTTCATTCCCTCTAGATTGCTTTTTTCATGTTTATATCAGCTAAGAAACAAGCAGAAAACTAAAAGGCAATTTGGTTCCCAGTTATCATTAATGTTAGGGTGCCAGCCACAGTCTAGAAACCCCACCTGACCTGTCCTACTCTGCTACTATTGAAAAATGAGATAGCCAAATCTGTTAGACCTTATACCTAAAATAAGACTAGAGTCTGTCATAAAGGGTGTGTGTGTGTGTAATTTGTAAAATATTCTATAGTTTATAATGTGAGGTAGTTGGGATTGGTGGTGTTATTTTATTATTATCCCTATTTTATAGATTAGAACCCTTACTTAAACTTAAAGATTAAATGCTTTGTTGGCAGTTGTAAACTTACTATAAACAGCAGGATCCTGATTTGAACCCAGACCTCTGAATCTGCTGTGCTTTTTTCCCCATACCATACTTGATGTGTGGGGAAAATTGTTTTAACAACGTTATTCCATTTTTGTGCTATACTTTGGGTTTTTTTTCCAAGATGAGGACCCCTCATAAAAGTACCAGTGATAACAGGTCCCATTGGGTGTTTTAAATGTGATTGTCACCTGTTTACTTTTCCCAGAAGTTAATTTGTGTGCAATGGGAGGCTGAATGGAGTTGATGATCCACTTCCTGCCAATATCTGAACTAGGATACATTGGAATGCAATCTCAGAGCTCATCAGAAACACCCCAGTTAGCCCTTTGTCTTCTGTTAGGCATGAGATTAAGTAGAAAAGATCATGTCATGTTCTTGTATCCCTGTCATGTCCATAATCTGTTAGCTAAGAGGGAGAACAAAGTACATCTTTTGGGTCTAGCCTCCAAATATAGGAGAACAAATTTGATTTTAGAACAGCAGTAACTATGTTTCTCATTATATCAGTCTTGATCAACCCTTTCTGTTTGGGAAAGAATTGACTTTTTTTTGTAAATCCATCTGTCACCCCACACACACCCCCTTTCTCTTCCTCTCAGTTTTTTCTTTCTCTCTTTTCTCCCTCTACCCCCTTTCTGCTTTTATGGAATTGCACAAACATCTCACAACCTCTTCAGCTTAGTTGGAAATTGACTCTGATAATCCAAGTGAGAGCCCAGTAAAATTCTATTTTACCTAAAACTAGACTTAGGTAAAATAATAAAATGGGAGTCTTGAATATCAGACTCCTTTCCAAGTCCTATCTTCAGTTTTCCCATTTTTCTGTCCCCCGCTCTCTGGTACCTCATCAAGGAATGAGTGTGATCTCAACACTAAGAGATATTGTGTAATGAGTCTCTAATCCATTCCAAAGAATGTTTGCTTTTTCTTAACATTCTATTTTTAAATAGTTTTTCACTCTAAAAGAATATATTTCTTTCTTTTTTTTTTTTT